TTTTCGGCAGATCGCTCGAGATGCCAATACTTACAAGGCCTCTCAACAAAGTTCTGGAGAGTTTTGACGGGTCAGTAACTCCGAAAATATTTATGTCGTCCCAAACTATTCTTACACCCGCGACAAGGATATTTTTGGCTAATGTTGGGTAACTCCCGTATACGTTTTGTTGCTTTTCTCTTAATTACGGCTATTCGCTGGAATCCAAAAATATCGTTTTGCAAATTGCAAAAATGTCTTTGTGATTCCTTTTAACGTCATCAACGAAATTTTCGCCAAGTAATTATAAGTAATCCATAAAAACATATAAAAGGAATCCATAAAGGATTTCAATATAATTTTATGTTTTTAATGTTTATTGACTTTTTTATTAATTAAATGTCGTATGCGAAATATTTTCTTTTTATTGAGAATTATTTGCTGCTTCCGGAAATTATTTATTAACTTATTTATATCTAAGAAATATTTGCATCAACATTATTAATTTCGTTATTTAGGAGAAAGTTTATAAAGCTTTTTCAGCGCAAAATATGTATATTTCTCAAGAAATGAAAAAGAATCTCGTTTATGTATTTAATCTTAAAATGCTACTCACATTTTTCTTATACATTAATTCATTTCTAAGTAAAAATTCATCTGCATAATTAAATATTTTTTTACACTTTTTAATATCTGTTTTATAGATTAAGATGTAATAGAATAATTGAAGTAATATTTTCATGTAGAAAAATGATTTTAATGTTAAACAATCTTATTAAATGTCATTAAAAGTTATTGAAATTTTAATAACAACGACTGTATTAAACTTGAATTAGCACTTGAATGGAAATTCACCTATAGTAGAATTCCAGAGTTAAATGAAACTGTATAGAAAATTTAATTTATTTTTCACTTTATGCCTTTGATAGAGAGAGAGAGAGAGATTCTTAAATATAATATTAAAAAATATACGAATCTCCGAATTTATATATACGTTAAAACAAATAAAGAAATTAAGAGAATACGAAAATATAGTGTTATGTGGTCTTTCACTTTTACCAAGGAAAAAAACGCCTATTATTAAGCATTATTTGCATTACTCGACAATCTTCCGCAAATTGATGCCTCTCTATTCTTCTTGCATCAAGGCTTCTGATACATCGGTTCATCTTCACGGTGGGTGGTGGTGGAGTGCGCACTTGTTACGGAAGGATCCTCGAGATATCGAAGTTCCCGAGGAGTCTAAAGGGTCGCGTGTCGCAGGGGGTCAACAGATGTTGCGCCAAAGTTGCAAGAGCTTCACGTGTCATTGTATTACAATATACGTTACCTCAACTATCTGCATGTTTCGTACAGTATTAGAATACTGCAGGCACTACGAAGAGCTCGGTTATGGTAAATCAAATAAACTATGAGAACTATGAGATGTCAGTGATATTTATGTCTTTGGGCGATGAATCGCAAATTTCGTTGTCTATCATTGCTTTTGATTTATCAAATAATAATCCCGAAAATATTTTTTTACCCGGTATATTCTCTGATTTAACAAAGTTGCTAAATTTAATTATCTATATTTAATTTAATTGATATTAAAACTGCTGTGATCAATTTTAAAAAAAGCAAAAATGAATTTTAAATATTTTTGATGTTCAAATTTTGCTCGTTTCTATTTTCAATCATATTGATAAAAATCGGTAATATATACAACTAAAAGCTAATATACTTTTATTCTACAATTTATAGAGTTTAACGATTCAGTTACAAAAAGTCTTTTAATTCATTTCAGTAGAAATATAAAGAATCCAGATTGCACGATAGAATTCCCTTAAGCGAGATATCCCCTCATCAGTCGTTCCATTCAATGGATTAAATAAGTAATTATAGCGTTTGCTATTGTACTTTACGGAAGCGGACGTATATTGCGGAGACAGGAGACAGCTCGTGTCGTATCGTTCGTGTCTCGATGCATTAAGAGGGAGAGCATCTGGAAAACGCTTTCCGGCGTATTAAACGTACAGTGAAAGCTTCCGCGCGTGATTACTTGGCCAGTGGGGAGACAGGGAGCGAGCGCTTTGAAATTCGACGCGGATCTGCGTTGGGAAATGTATGCGTGTTAAAGAAACAGCCGTGAGAACAAATAGTCCATGAACAACCAACCGATGTCTGGCGATGTCTGGCGATGCTGTGTGACAAACGACCGATCTGAAGGGAGATAATCTCGAATTTGCTGGAAATTTAGTTTATACGAGTGACCAAATACCATAGATGCATGGTCCGTAAATTCTACTAATTTATTTTATACATAATTGCTTATATCTGTACTCCAGTAATGCTTTGATAAGTAATTAATCCATTTTGTTTAAATTCAATTTAATAATTATTTTATTATACTATATTAAATATTATATTAATTATATTAATTTTTTATTTATTAAGTATTCTATTCTCGTTTTGTGTTTTTGCTTACACTTATTTTCCCTCCTCTCTCTCTCTCTCTCTCTCTCTCTCTCTCTCTTCTTTTTTTGTGGTTGTACGTCTCGTTTTTAGCACAAAAAGAATACAGAGTTACAGTTGTAACTTCAATACATTGATCGCGATTATACGATTGAAACGATGTAATTAATTAGTCTTTTCTACTGAGAAGATTAATTAATATGTGATCAACTAGTTGAAAAGCTGTCGCCAGTCTCTGTGAGAAAAAGGACAAAAGCTGCAGCACATTAAAAACCCTTTCATCTGCATTGTAATTATCTCTGCGCTTCTTTTGTATGCGTCTTCCAGCGAAGCTGCGAAAGCTTGGGATAATGAAGCGCGCGGTTTTATGTGAACTGCGAGCTGTGCTTTACGACGTGACTTTTAAGGAAAAGACACGGTATTGTAGGATCCTTCAGAAGCGTCGAGCGACGTTGGCATCGGGTGACGATCTAGTGTGGCAAAACATCGACGATATATGAGAGTGCTTTACAGGATATGGGAAAAGCAAAGAGAGAGAGAGAGAGAGAGAGAGAGAGAGAGAGAGAGAGAAAGAGAGAGAGAGAAGAATCCCCATAAAAATCTCCAATTCTAAATTTGCCGTTAATAGCACGGCGTGACGAATGAACGCAGATGCATTCGACGTGCCTCGTGGGACGTGCCTTGTTTTGAAAACGTGCCGATACTCCAGGAAAGCCTCGTACTGCAACGGCATCCGATGAACTTTCGGATTTACTGTAGTCACAGGGTATGTCCGGTCTCTCTCTCTCTGCGATCCCTCCACTCCGATTTCCCGTGTCATGGCTAGCGAGCATCTCTCCGTGAACATCTCATAAATCGCCGGCAATTTCAGCTGTCTTCGGTGACACGACAATTCTCGGTGACCCAGTCAAAGAACGTATATCTTATGTCGTTTCTACCAATGTATTATAGATTACTTGACTTGGTTTTACTTACTTTTTATCTTTTTCTAGTTCTAAGAATTAGAAAGGGATAAAAAGTAAATTAAATCGAGATTAAAGTTAATCTACATTGATAGAAACGGGCATTAATCATATAAGATAAATGAATGATGAGCTGTCGTTTATTTTTGTCATCAAAGACGATACAATAAGAAATTAAAATTGTCGTATAAATAATTTTAATATAATAATGTCACGTTTATATATCCACAAAATCAGAACCATTGTATTAACTATAACCATTGGCAATTTATCGTGATTTACAGAATATTGGAAATATATGTACACTCATGTTGCCCAGAAATTGTACATACCGAGAGTTTACGGTATTCAACATAAATATCTACCGATGCAGCTTTTCGCGACAAGCTATAGCAAGAGAGTTTTTACGATACTCAAGACACTCGAGATTTCCGTTTAGGTAAGAATGCGGAGGAAGTGACACTTGGAGTGGAAACGATGGCTCGACAGCTGACATTTTATTTCGTTTTCCTCGGATGGTGGAGCCCAAAGTGGCATCGTATCGTAAAAATGTAGTTGTAGTCAATGTAGTTCTAACAAGCTGCTTAACGCTTTTCCGATGCATTTTCAATAATTTTAACGATATACTTGCGCGCGCGAAAAGTGAGAAATTTATTATCTTCTTAAAATCAATTATAGAAAATTATTATCAGAATTCGATTTACATGAGAATGACCAAAGTTTAGACTTCATCAACATTCGGGGATGTACGTCAAATCAGTTAAACGTTTGCAAACACCGATATCCATCATTAATCACATATGACGGTCACGTAACGGCTAAAATGTAGCGTTAAAATATGTGGTCCTTAATAACGCGGTGATGGTTAGCTAGCTGAGTAATTATTCGCACTGTCTGATAAATGACTTTCGGCTGACGAAAGCTCGTTAAAGAGAATACGAAGAAGCGCTCTGAAAATCTGGTGCAAGCGCGAAGGCGTAAAAAATGAGCAAGAAAGAAGTCACGCTTTTCTACTGTTTCTCTTTATTGCTTCATAATTCACATATTTACACCATCACGGTATCGACGAAGCTCTCTTCTCTACATACTATGTGATAAATACGATCGTTTGCAGGCACATGAAAAATTCGGCGATTTGTTCCGAAGAAATTCTTGAGCATATCGAGTGACAAACGTTGCGCATGAAATTTTCATACGGCGGAAGGGTTTTTCGTCACATCAGGAACTGAGCTTATAATTTTAGACTTGAAATGCAAAACGATGCAAAAACGGATAGACAATATCATTATTAGAATTAGAAAAAAATTTCTATATCAATAATATGTTACAATTCCAAAGAAATAAAAGCGAAAAGAATTAGTGTACGAAGTGTTCGCTATTTCTGACAAGTACAGGAAATTTTATTTGCTTATCATAGAAAAAGCATAGAAAGTAGAAGGCAAAACATGAAAAATACTTTCTACATTCTCGTCGTTTTGCATTTTACATTTGTATCGTAATACCGCTAAAAGTGGATAAATTAAAAACAAATTCTTCAGAAAATCTTATTAAAAGCATTAATAGGATTCACTTCATAAATATTTAAAATTAAAATAATCGTAAAAAAGTTGCAACAAATAATTGTCGCGTAATAAATTTTTACTCTGCTACGAGAGAGAAAATGTTTGCCTCACTGTGCTACAATATTTCAAGTTACGCTCACGCGCAGAGAGACTAAGATTATTCTTTTAAAATATTTTCTTCTAGTATAGATAAAATATTTGACTACTTCCGATATTTCGCATAGATTTATCGGAACAATTTATCGGAAACCTATACTATGTTTGTGTGCTTTCACTGAATTTCCTGGACTCATTAATCATAATTCTCGTTTCGATAAAAAAAGAAATGAGTCCATTCGGCCGAATACCGATTTTAGAATTTATTGTTGTTTCAAAAATCACACATTTCTGTTCTGGGGATTCTTTAAGTTTAAAAATACACACGGGTTTTCTTCTCTTCCTTTCAATTTTATGATTAGCTATTATTTTAATTTCAATTTTATGTTTAGCTTATTGACCAATTCATAACAATACAGTTATCATTCGTCTTCATTCATTTATCCATAAATCGCAAAAATTACACGATTTTTTAAGTACTTTGCGCAATACGATAGGATTATTCTAGGTAAGAGGCATTCAGATCTTTGGCTGTCTGCGTGCATTCATTTGAACTATCGAATGGCACACATCACTGCTATAAGAGCCAAGGAAGGAGACTGATTCAAAAGGATCAAGTCTCAGTACCATACAACTTCAGTGATGCGATGAATAATGACTTTCCGACGACGGCTGCAATGGCCCATTAATGCTTTGCACGATCATACTGAGGCAGTCCAAACTGCTTCCGTTGTTTTGTGAGGACAATACCTCGGCTTGCTCGAAACCTGGAACACAAAAATACAAATGATATTAGAGTAATGCCTCTCTCCAAAAAAAGTCATGCACTTTGCGTCTGTTATTTGTACAACGTCGCCTTCACTTAATCCCGTTTTACTGTATGCAGAACGCCAGAATACTCCTTTTCTAATAAGTCGAAATTCTCAGTGTAAGATTCAGACTTCATTTTCACGCCGCGTTTAGCACAAAAAGATCATTGCAATTCCAAGGCGACGAACAGACTAACAGAGTCTTGGAAACACGAAGGCAACGTGCACACTGTGTGCGAAGTACAAACTACGTTTAACTTTACTCTTTGACTGTCCTTCGTCTCCAGCGCAGTGTATATCTAGATACGGATGAATTGCCAGCGCTTCCCGAACGAGAGGCCGGCTTCTTCTTTCCACTTTTCGTTGTCCTTCGCCGCGGCGAAAGCATTTGCGTAAGTTATATACTGCAACGTTAAGGGCTTTGAAGCCGTTATTCTTGGCACCAGCGCGCACTTCCGTCTTTCTGTTTTAAATTCGACTAGTAGGTTCTTTCTCCTTCAGAAAATACACACATTTACACTAATAGTGATATAATTTAATTGTGTAATTTAAACAATATTAAAAATAAATGTCACAAAAAGTAACCGTCTTTATAGTGTTCAAGTAAACACGTTTACTTAACTAAAATATATATTCTTACAAAACACTAAATTCTTTTCTAATTTTGGTTATACGAAATACATAAGATATTAGATAAATAGATATTAGATAAATAGAAAAGAAGTCTAATGTATATATCTATTTTTATAACTTTTTTGCATTGCGACATTTATTAATTAACTTATTATTATAAATAAAAAGTTAAAGTTACTTAAAATTTAAACTTAATGCATACACATAAAAACTAAAGAAGATTAATTATTTATAGAAGGAAAAATTATTTCGAATGCAATAATTAGATATTTAGGTACGTGAATATTTAACAACTATAACTATATGATTATAGTGTAAATGAGTTGCCGCGATGGATTATTGGATGCGTTGATGACTAATTAATTAGCCACCCACACTCATCTGCAGTATTTCGGACGTGTCGTTGGCACGAAAGTGTGGATAAAGATATATCTGCTAAAAGCATAATCAAGAAAACAGGTTGCAAGAAACTAATAATATATCAGTTGGAACGACGAATGCGTCAACATATCGATAAACATGAAAAGAAGACATTTTCCATTCGCTTTTAAAAAAGACGTGTTAGTAATTGATTTTATAAATTGCTGGGTTGTTTGTTCAATCAATATTTCCTTAATGAAACGTAGAAAAAATAATGATTTTAAACAAGTAATTGAGAATAAGCAATTTTTCGCGAAGCAATCTTCGCCAAAATCGATGAACAGATTTTTATTTAATTTCAAGTAGACGTCATTATAACGAAATTTTAGTTGAAACTTATTTGCTAACATATTTGCTCCAGAAATAAAAGAATTGTGAAAAAAAAAATGGAATCTAAACTTTTACTAAAAAAAATCGATTCCGCATTAAAAAATGATCGCACAAATAAAGTTTGTGAAAGTTACTTACTTAAACCTTATATATATTATATATAATTAAAAAATATACATAGAGATAATGTGTGTGTATATATGCTGTCATCAATGCTTAATTTCTCATAAATAATGCGAAAACTTCGACTATCGGTGCTTCTAATTTCCATAAAATTAAAAACAACAATTAAATTCAAGGGGGCCATAAATATTCACGACCCTTAGGTACTAGTATAATGAGAAAATGCAAAGAAAATTTTGCATAGTTCTCCCTTAAGATCAAATGATATGGAAATGTTGCATATCATGTAAGAATGATAAAAGTGGTAATTACGAAAAACTAGTAATTTAACAGAATTGCATTAGTAATTTAATAAAGGAGAGTTGAAATCTGAACTTTGTATACGTTAACTGTATTTAATTCGGACAAACAAGTGTATGTTTTTTTTTACAAAGCAAAACAACAAGATAACGACCAAAAACGAGCATAAAAATTGTTAGATTACAGTAAAATAATTTATATTTGAGATACAAAATCAATCAATTTTTGTACATTAAAACGTTTCGACTCACAGAGTCTTCTTCAGTTAACAATACAATAACCTAATAATCTAACCGCAATTAAAAAACGGAACTAATGTCGTAATTGTTTTTTTCTAAGTAAACTTTTGACTTGTCACATGATTTGAATGTTTCAAGAGAACTCTTTTATTTGTCTACCATTAGATACTTTTATATTGTCCTATAACAAAGGATTTTCCGAAAATCAGCGCAGAAATATTCCGTTACAAAATTACGTTATTCATGATTGTTTGGCAAAGCACAAACATTAAGATGCGCTGAATATTTATTTATAAATCACACGGGACGTATGATACACGCTGTCATACTTCTGCGGATGATATACCGCTTAGATTGCTTGCCAGATTCGTTTGGTATACCGCGCAATCACGACACTGAATAGATCTCGATGATGGCGTAAATTATTTACAGGGCTGACAACTCTGTCAACCGCAATGTAATTCTCGACGCGTATATAAACAGACAGATATCTCTAACGTATGATTCTTCCACTTACAATTGTTGGAACGATAAAGAACGAAATGTGTCATAATTAAGTTATAACTTTGAATATATTTAGAAAAATTAATTTTAGAAATATTTTATATTTAGATAAATAAATAAATTACTTCTTGTATATTCCAATAACTTATATCCTTTAACTATAATATAATTTTAATCTAAGTGATAAAGATTTTTAAGAGAACCAAAAAATGTTTTATTCTATTTATATAGAAATTGTTTCAGTTATATTATTTAATATGTAAGTATTTAGAGAACCAAAAAATGTTTTATTCTATTTATATAGAAATTGTTTCAGTTATATTATTTAATATTTAAGTATTTATTAATAATGTCTAATATTATTGTTGAACCAGTAAGTGTCAAAGAAATATAAACATATATTCCTGTTAATTATTGAAAGAACTTCGAATGAAATAACGAAACGCAACAATCAAATTAATCTTCTTACAATATTATTGAATAAACGAAATTGAATGGAGAGATAGCAGGTACCCCTATATTTCTAAATTATTTCTTACGTTGTATCTCATGCTCGTTCTATATCGTGCCGGGACGTTTTAATCGACTCAGCAAATAGATGGATTAAATCGTAATGCCTCGTAACTTTCGGTAAGAACGAACAGAAATAACTAGTCAACGAAGAAACGTGTGCAAGAGATAGATTGGAGAACGGAAACGTATCTATATATATAGATGAACATAGAAAACGATGTACCTATATCAAATCGGAAGAACTTGTCGAAATGACATTCTGCGCCATGCACACGGTACATAAATACATACATGTTGAACATCGCACAGCGTGATTCACTGCATATATCGTTGCTGTATATATCTATATGACAATTAGGAGATATGCAGCACTGTGTAAAACGTTTCAGTAATAAAGGGCTTTTCATCAAAGATTAGGAAAAAAAACTCGAGCTTTGCTGTAATATTCACGCAAGGCTTATTTCATAGCGAGAATCACACGAATTCGTACGCATTAAATGGTACTTTCCTTGAAACCGAGCACGAAGCTGTGAGGCATCTATACTAATTAGTTCGCCAGTTCGACCAACTCGTCTCTGTACGTCATTAAAATAGGTTGCACTTCGACTACGTAGAATAATTTCGGGTGCGAAGGCTTAATGTTCTCGGTGGACTTTCTTTTGGTGGAAAAAAAAAGGAAAGAAAATTCCGGCGGAGTAATGTTGCGACGGTCGCACTTAGAGCCTCTTGTCCTCGGGAAGTTCGGAGTCACCGATGCGTTTCTCACTAATGAGGAGGAATCAAAGCTACGTTGTGCCGTTGGAGGAGGTCCGTGCGCATTCAGCAAATCGTCTAGGACACATCTTTGAAGATGGAAATGCAATTAAGTCGTCTTAATTTACTCGCTGTCCTAAGCATCCGGTGTCCTAAATGGATAACGAGTTCTCTTCGGAAATACTTTTTTCGAACATAGATTAGGTTTCGCTCGTCAATCAATACAACTGTCGAAGATATTAATATTCAAAGTTTTCACAATAAGTTTACAATTGCGTCGAGAGACATCCATACTTCTCACATATTGCGCTGATTTTTACATATCACACTGTGATGGTGTTATTTCAATGATCATTTAATTGGAAGTTTTGACATGAGAATACTATGGTCTTAAGTGTGCGATTGATTTGTGAGAATTGTGGCCATTTCTTATATTAATTCGAAATATTGTATATTACATGACGTCGTCACGCTTGTAATGTTATAATTTTAAATATATTTGCGAAAGCGGAGTACATATATATAGAGTTTTGTGAATTTCATAGTCACGAGTCTCTCGCATAAACTAATCAGAATAATATTCATAAAATTATGCACGTATTATGGAACCACGTCTGCCTCGCTTATTCATGAACCAAAATAGAGGTGATAATAGGTTCTTGACGCGCGAAATTGAATGCAATATTAAACGTGATGTATAATTTAGAAGCAGAATTATTCGCATTGCAAAATTCACTTGCGGAAATAAATAGCTTGTCAATTTTTTAAATCGGCGAACTCTACAGAATTCTAACAAGTCTCGATTGATTTTAAGCAATTTGTTATACTCGAAGTCTGTTTTACATGTTTTTATCTGATGCTCATTTCCATCAATGTAAATTAATTTTAATTTCGGTACAACACACTTATTCTTCATTTATTACTAATTCTTAGGACTAGAAAAAGATTAAAAATAAGTTGAACCGAGATTAAAATTAATTCACATTTGTAGAAACAAGCATTAATCAAATAAAAATAATAAGCAACATTTTAATTGTAAGGAGCCATTTAAATAACTTAAAAAATGTTAACAAACATTTGTGAAGTACATTAAACGTCAGAATCTGCAGGTGCATAAGTGATGTCATACCTTCGATTCGTCTA